GACCCCAAACACAGGAAGAACAATGTTGGGTAAGGAACAGGAAGGAAGGGAAGGGAAAACCCAAAAGGAAGCCCGACCCTTAACGAAGAGGCAACACTCAGTTACACAGCCTCTTTTCATCTTGAGCCAAAGCATAACAGTTCGGCTAAGCTGCATAATCAGACAACTACTTTACATACAGAAGGACCGTAAATCTTCAACTCTAAAGGGACCCAAATAAATATCTATACTATACATATGTATATATATATATATATGTATGTATATATGTATGTATGTATGTATGTATGTATGTATGTATGTATGTATGTATGTGTGTGTATATATATATATATATTGCTTCTAATTATACTAAGGCCCCTATATTAGGTGCTTGGGGAGCTTGGCCAAACGTCGAGGAAACATTTGAGGTTACCTTTCAGGTGTGGGTTTCCATGAACTACTTCAGCGAGGCCGGAACAGTCCACCAAGGCAAAAGTTACATCCTTAGGGTTTAGTGTTTTGGGTTTAGGGTTTTGGGTTTTGGGTTTAGGGTTCTCCCCTCCTGCCATGACAGTGATAAGTGATATTGTTGTCGCGGAGTTGAGGTCGCCCAGAACACACGATTCCTTGCGAAGGGAGTACAGCTGGAGGTCCAAGACGTGAATTTGAATGCTTTGAAGACCAACTGCATCATCTGCTTCTCCGGGAATCTCAATGGATTCTGTAGTCGGCCGTGTAGGAACTTGCCCAAATGGGTCCCGTCCCCTTTCACCTCAGTCACCAGCACCTAACGTCTGGTCACGGGTGCCCCTGCACTCGCGCGGGGGTCATCAAAGTATCACCTCTCCAAACCAATTCGAGGGGAAACGACTTCCAGTGTTTAGAGCTTAGGGTTTAGGGGTTTAGGGTCTAGGGGTTTAGGGCTGAGGATTTAGGGGTTTAGGGCTTAGGGTTAGGGGTTTAGGGTTTAGGGGTTTAGGGTTTAGGGTTGAGGGGTTTAGGGTTGAGGGGTTGCGGGGTCTAGGGTTCATGCTTTAGGGTTATAGTTTGGGGAAGACGTGGCTAGGCGCATTAGCAGCTGCAGCTGGGCATCCCTAAACCATAAACCCTTCACCCTAAACCTCTAAAGCCCTACCTAAACCCTACCCTAAGGGTCCAAGTATCTAATAATCATATACTCTCCCAAATAGTAACCTACATAACTACTATCCGAAACCTAAGTACCTGATTATTGGGTCCTTTGGACCCTTGCGGCTAAACCCATGACTCGGCCCCATTGGTATTCAGGCTGAGGGTTGTCTTTGAGCGTCCTTCATCCCGAACACCGAGGTCGCACATGCTCTCAAAGGGCGGCTTAGGGTTTAGGGTTTAGGGCGCTAAAGCCCTGAGCCACGGTTTAGGGTTGAGGGTTTCCTAAACCCCTAAACATAGCAAGACCCCTCAGCGCCCTAAGGCCTAGAACCCTTGAGCCGAAAGCGCCAGAGCCCTACAGTAGTCTGTGTCAGGCTCTCATAGCTCAACTCCCTAGCTCCCAGAGATTACCTATGGGAGCTCCGGTAACTTCAAGGCCAGATTCCTGAAATCCCCAATCCTGATAGGTAGAAAAGGGCCCCGTAGGTATACCATTCTGATAGGGGTTTTTAGGGTCGTAGTAGGTGTCGGGGCTCAGAACAGCGCTCTATAACTAGACCTTACCCTAGATGTCCACCTACTATCTCTAGAGAAGATTGCTGAAATATTATGGGTACGAGTATCACAAGCTTTGTACAGGGTTTAAGGAACAGTCTGCATCGCAGTATATTGGGAACTGCGCATCTAAGCTTCATGAGCAGACGCGAGTGTCGGAGGCCACTTGGCTTAACCCTCAAACGAAAGCACCTGATCCGAAAAACCTAAACCCTGAAAAGACAAGCACGCAAACCCAAAGGCCCTGTGTAAAACCGTGGTGAGCACGACCACAAAGGCGAAGGCGAGGAAATGACCACTACGACCACCGGGGAACCAGGAAGACACCAGATTAAGGACCTCAACCACAACTCTTCACATGCACTGGCGGGATTCAGCGACATGGGTAGTTGTCAAAATTATGGTCCATTTTGGGGTACCCTAAATAATAGGTGCCGTATTATAATAAGGACCCAAAAAGGGACCATAATTTTGACAACCACCCACATGGCCCAAAGGCTTCCCCCCTTGCACACTGGCGGGACTCAATCATTGCGAAGCCAAACTGAGGCCAGCGTCACGGAATTGTTGATGGATCGACGCGAGCGTAAGATCCACAAATGGCACCACAATGTTTCGGAATGACCCAACTCCGCCCCGTCGCACAAAAAGAACCTAAAGTAGGGGCCTTGATAATCAGAAGCGGGCTTTGTGGGTCTGTGATACTAGAAAACCCAAAACAGTACAGGCAACTATTTAGGCGTCTATATTAAATTGTTCAAACTTAAAGCCAAAACTGCCAAAACCCATCCAAACCCTAAACGACAAACCCTAAACCCAGGCATTGGGGCGCCTGAAGCCCGTGTAGCCCGGAATGGCGGACCACGGCCGGCGTGGCAAATGCCTGCCTTCTGTGAAGAATACTTGTGACTTCAAGATTCAAGGTTTTAGGGTTAGGGTTTTGGGTTTTGGGATTAGGCTTTAGGCTTTAGGGTTTAGGGTTTAAGGTTTTCGGATCTTGCAGGGTTAAGGTTTAGTGTTTAGGGCTTTAGGTTCGGGGTTTGGGCTTTAGGGTTTAGGGCTTTCGGCTTTGGGCTTGGGGTTTGAGGCTTTATAGGGTTTAGGCTTTAGGGCCTTTAGGGTTTAGGGTTTAGGGTTTAGGGTTTAGGGTTTAGGGTTTAGGGCTTTGGGTTCGGGGTTTTGGGTGTGGGGCTGGGGGTCTGCAAGGCGGTACGCAAGAAGATCCGAAGTTACTCGAAGGCTTCGAGGTCCCCGGCATCTTTGGTCCATTTCTCTTGGGTTTAGGGTTCAGGGTTTAGGGTTTGGGGTTTAGGGTTTCGGGGGGTAATATAGAGGCCATAATCATAATACCTAGAATAGAGCCACTAGGCTTAGAGTATCGTCTACACTAGTTTTTTTTATCAAGACTATAAGGGATTTTATCGGGGCCATAAGAAATAGAATGGGGCCAATAGGGTATCTTATTATAGGGACGGAAAACGGGATCCAGCTCCATAGACCATGCTAAACCCTAAACCGTTTTTCGTCTTGAAACGTAGACCACAAGCTGTTCATTCCCAAATCTTGAACAGAAAAGCGCCATCGGCTTGAAAAATGGATCATAAGCCCTAACCCCTGAACCCTGAACCCCGAAAGCCTAAATCCCAATGTAGTATAGGGGCCTTGATAAGTAGAATGGAGCCCAAAATCGGTAAGTACTCCGACCCCTATATTTGACATGGCCCATGTTGGGCCTCATGGTCTTCACGGGCGAAGTGATAATCATGGGGATGATCATGCCCTTGAACATCCCCAATAATATCCCAGTCGTAAATCTCTACTCATAGAGGATTACTCGCAAAAACCATCCGTAAACTGCTTTACTCGCAGTTATTACTCGTAAATCTCTACTCGAGCATTACTCGCAAAAACCGATTCGTAAACTGCTTTACTCGCAGTTATTACTCGTAAATCTCTACTCATAGAGGNNAGAGGATTACTGGCAAAAACCCATTCGTAAACTGGAGTACTCGCAAATAATACTCGCAAGAGTGTTTACTCGTAAAACTTACGGCGGCAATGTAATCGTACATGGGTCACAAATTTGCTCGTGACCGTGTGCCAATCTCAGGGGGGGATGTTTAGGGGGATGTTCATGTGGATGTTTGTCCTTAGAATCATCCCCTGTATTCTAAACCAGCAGGCAGACACGGGCCATCTCAACCCTATATACCAATATTCCCATGAATACTAAAACCCTATCATACTCCATGCTCGTAGCCCTTGTCTAGGACCCTTGTTCTGGAACCCTACAAAGGAAACGTAATCTTTAAGGCACAAAAGATCTTTTGGGAGTTTCTCGGGGATCCATAGCCCTAATTATCTTGCCCAGAATATCCCTGACTCGTAAGAACCCTCTAAACCCTAAACCCCGCGGTATAGAAGCCTCACAGGAATCCTACGTGACCCAAGTTGCGACACGGCCGGGCCTGCGTCGGGTGCTGTCCAGGGCTCCCGCTGCACTTCTCGCTGGCGCAGGATCGCCTACGCGGAGTAGGATATACCATTTTTGAAGTTATGGTTCAAGATGGACGTGGGGTCTAGGATCTAGAATTTGGGGCTTAGCGTTCACTGTTTGGGATATAAGATTGAGTTTTTTAGGGTCTAGGTCGAAGGCTTTAGGTTTAGGGGCTTGTGTTGCTGGATTACAAGTATGCCCGCAGCTTCACAACTGTTCAGCCCCGAAACTCAAAAAACCCAACATCCTAAANNCCTAAACCCTAAACCCCCCAAGGCCTTAAAGCCGCAAATGTTCAAAGCTCCTTAACCCCGAACCGCGCCAAGTGCCGACCCAAGTGGCAAGCCGCTCTTCGGCTTGCTGTCTCATGCGCTCCTCGGTGTCTGTTTTATCTTTGATACTGGTGTAGGGTCCTACCGTCTGTCCAGTATGTAAGGTTATATATGGTGCAGCGTCGCCCGAACCCCCCCCCCCCCCCCCCC